CACAAAATAACCGTGGTTCGGTATGATCCGATATGATCTAACTTTACTCAAAATATTGCCGTGATTCAGTCAGGATGGAAATTTCCAGTTTCACGTCAGAAGAGCTTTCTATCCTTTTAATTATACGATCATTAAAATAATATGACGAAAATGATATGACCACACTATTGATAGTTGTCTAAGGATATTATATAAGTTAAGGAAGAGTCACATTAACACCCGACAGATCAAAATCGACACTATACATGTACACTATAATACTCATTTGATCAATTACTGATAAGTAGTGCAGTGACGTCACATCCATTTCAAACAAAATGCTCTCCTTCTTTTAAATGTACATTTTAAATGTTCACTCGTCTGAAACAAAGTACACAAAATGCCCCACTTTCAATGTTTATTCTAAATATTGCTGATCATTTAAGGATATATACATGTAGATATTAATGGTGAGTCCTTGTTTCATTTGAATTGTAATTATTAGCTTGACACATGCTTGTTTATCTATTTTAATTTTGCACTGCAGTAAAGAATAATTTAACCTGAATCAATATTTCAAATTTAAAATGTCTTACGTAAACAATGTATGAATGAACAACTCTTTAATTGTATGTATATATAACAACAAATGTACATGTACTATATAGTGCGATTTGGGAAATGATCATGTAAAAAAACCTTAGCAGGAAATTTGAAAATAGAAAGTTCCTCTCTTGTAATTTTAGCTCCATACAAATGAAAAATAAGTCAAATAAAAAATAATCAGATTTGTAACTAGATTAAAGCTAGGCTATTATAAATTCGTAGTTTGACAGCATCATGAGTGTAAACACTTAAAAAAAAATTTCATGGCGTATGTCTGAAAATGTAACTAAATTTCAAAGGCTCAAAACCATAGGTTTGTTAAAATTTGGTTAATTTTGAGAAATTTGCGTAAAAATGACTACGGAGGGCATTCTTAACCAAATCCAGAATTCTTTTTAAAACAAAGTTATTTTTGTCTTTCATATACCCGTTAATTTATTTTGATTGTGCAAAATTTAATTTATTTTGATTGTGTCTACGATGCTAAAATTTACAGACACGTAAATTTGCAATATTGTATCAAATCTGTTTTCAATGTATATACATGTATAACGCTGACATTTAATTTTATGGATGCGAGTAAAATTGTTGTAAAATATTTTATATGTATTATAAAGGCAGTTTAGTATTCAAATTCTAGTGATGAGGTTCAAACAACTTTCGTATTTTGACCTTGTGAGTCAGTGAAATAATTTTTTGGGAAATTAGCCCTTAACCTTTTCAACGGCTAATATCTTTGCTTTATTAAACACATATTTTAACTTCTTTTTTGACTTGTCATTTGAGAAATTGCAATAAAAGAGGTACAGTAGCGGCTATATTGTGTCTGATCAGTACCTGATATATGAGGGTCTGGACGGGGGTTTACAGAAAGAGAATAATGGACGAAAGAAGAATAAAGAATAGAGAAAAATGGACCCAAAAATAAAGAATAGAGAATAATGGAGTGCTAAAATATAAAGAATAGAGATTAATGGGCAAAAATATAAAAGATAAAGAAAAATGGAATAAAAAAAATAAAGACTACAGAAATGAAGCCCCCATCCAGACCCTCATATATGAGCCCTGTAGTCCATGCAAACTATGGAATTTGCTGCTTATCGTATTAAATCATAATTGAAGGTACTGTTGGTTGTGGTTTCTATGTAGTGTCTATCTTAAACATAAAGTCTTGTTTCAAATAACCTTTTTTCACCCCACCCTCCCTCCAAAAAATTGCAATGAGATGTGTGTATATTTTAATTTTCTTTCGCTACCGAATGCATAACTTAAGTGTAAGTCTATGTAATTTGAAGGAAACACCTGATGCAGAATATGTATAGAAGACACAAGGGATTCACTGTAAGTATCGAGTGTGATTTTCTAGTTCTAAAATTGCTCGAGTCAAGTCATGGAGCTTTTTTCTTCCCTCTTCAATTGAATATCAAAATGATTTTTTTCTTTCAACCACATTCACGCCTTTTCTCCGTTATCATTTGCCCACATGCACCGCGTTTTTAAGACAGTTTGAAATTTGTTTTTGCCTGTTGTTGTTTACGTTTAGTCTCAGTCGTACTCGAGGTATAATATTACCCGTAATAGTATTTGACTGATGTTTCATCGAGCTCTAGTTACGAATAATAGAAATTCGTTCAATCTTACCACGACAACATTTGACCAAAGGAAACATCTAGTTTTGAATGCCATTAATTGGAAAGTGAGCTTTCACGTTGGTATTTTTATGCGTCGTGTAACGATTGTAACCACCTCATCTATTCCTCTAGTTACATAATTAGCATTATTTGTCATCTGTGAATGAAAGAATGAATACAAAAAAGAAATGACTAAAAAAGAAATGAATAAATACATACATAAAACACATAGACACATAACTACAGAACTACATAAATACAAAAATACATAAATACATAAATACATAAATACATAAATACATAAATACATAAATACATAAAAATTAAAAAATTAAATAATAATGATTAAATATAGCGTTGAATGATTAAAGGGATATTAGGTAGCTTGTGGAGCTTGCTTGTTGTCACGAAAGGTCAAGAGGTTCAAAATATGTAGAAAAAGACCTCTGTACGTACAATAGTCTTGGCAATCGACGGAGAACTTCAACCTAACCTGGGACATAATATATTGAGTATAATAGTCCCAGACCTAATTAACCTATACAAAATAATTAGATTTATTCCATATTGGTATTATTTTGATAGTTCTGTCTATATGAATTGGATTTTGAATGAACAACATATTCAACTGAAGAAAAGTTATATTCACCCGGAGACTACTATAACTCTGTGTTATAGTAGTCTCAGATTCACCACACAAATAATTGTCATTATAAAACATAGTTTTCTCTCGGAATATAGAATAAAACAATTACAGTCTTTTGTTTTTGTAAATATGTGGTTTAATTGCTTTTAAAAAAAACTAATATTCACTTCGGCCGTTGGTCTCGGTGAATATATTTTTTTTTCAAAAGTCAATAAAACATGGAAAGAGTATACTAACGTCAATATATTACAGTCTTTTGTTTTTGTAAATATGTGGTTTAATTGCTTTTAAAAAACTAATATTCACTTCGGTCGTTGGTCTCGGTGAATATAATTTTTTTTTTCAAAAGTCAATAAAACATGGAAAAAGTATACTAACGTCAATATATTATGTCCCAGATAAAACCACATATTTACATCATCAAATTTCATATTTACCTCGCTGACGCTCGGGACAAAATTCAAATATAACGACCCAATTCCATGTGAAAAATACCAACAATTCTAGGCTTGCATAAATTATTTCTTCATGTTCATTAAAAATGATAATAAAATATTATATACAAAACGAAGCATCCTGCTGAAAATTAAAGGGCATATTGATTTAAATGTCTTTTATTCCAAAACCAGCTTTCCGTGACCTGGGACTATCATGCTAACCTAGTATAGTCCCAGCTTTCACTAAAGTGACACTGAGTGTGTTCTTGGAGGTACTAAAAAAAATCAGTAGTTTACAAATTTCTTTTCAAATACAAGAGACATATATATATAAATGAATGCACGTCGTTTCGTAACCTGGTCGTTTCGTACCTGGTCGATTCGTAACTACGTTGTTTTGTAACTGAGACGTTTCGTACCTTTTGTAATTACATATGGTTATAAAGTGTTAGTTTAAATTAATTAGTTTAAATGAAAAAGTTAAAGTTATTATTTAAAAATGATTCAATTGTTCATCTAATAATAACAATATTGTAATATTTTTAATTTAAAATTTTTTGAAATCTTTTTAATTATTGGCTAATTGGTTAATTTGTAATTACGCTCGGTGACAGCTTTAATGGTTTTATGACAACTAATGACAGGTAATAAAAAGTAATTACAGTAGGTGTAAAGTGATTAAGTAGATTAATGGCTCACGACCTATGGCACACGACCTGAAAAAAATAATTATTTTCTCCTTTTTTTTTCACTTTTACATGCAATTGCATAACCCTCCTCCTTTTTCACCCGGGCTTGGGACCGGCGTTGGCGGAGTTAAAGTTTTTGTTTTTTTTAAGAACACTTTATCTTACTCTATTCTTTTTCTTTCTTTCAGATACATCACTATGTTGTCCTTTGTTTGCATGCTTATACTGGCATAAAGCCTGATTTTTCATCCGAAAAACCCTCGTATTAACATGAAACAAAGTCTTAGTGGGCCGTAGCAGCAGCAGCAGTTGGTCCGTAAACAAAAGCACACCTCCTTAATAATGTACTACTGGACATCTGGTTTTGAGTGTATTTATCCCAGAATGAGAAAATTTCTGATATATCATGTTTAATAACTACACAAAAAAGCAATCAGTAGTGAAATATTTTGAATAAATTTAATTTGAATTAAATTGATAAATTATTAGGCGTGGTTAAATTAAATAAATGTTAGTGACAAGTGTTCACTTAATGGTATAATAGAAGTTTTTTTTTTACTCCTTTTTCATTCATCTATAAACGCCAAATATGTCACTAACAGTAAATAAGCCCAAAGTACTTGTGATCGGTCACAGTTTCATCCGAAGACTGGAAAATTGGATGTTAAGAACGCAATCCGACTTATCAAGTTCTAAATACTTTGATAAAGACGGGGTACATCTAAATGATGATGGACAATTCAAATTCTTCTGTTCTATTCGCATGTGTGCAAAACTGTACTTGTAAAGTGTAAATTTATGTGCAATCAATTATTTAATAAATAAATATAGATATATATATACACATACATCACTAAGTCTTTTTATTTCTTTTTACGTAACCTACTAATCTTATTGTTATTATATATTGATATAAGGTTACAAAACGTCTCAGGTACGAAACGACCTAGTTAAGTTACGAATCGACTAGTTACGAAACGACCAGGTTACGAAACGACCTGCACCCATATAAATATGACTTTTTTGTGTATATATGTCTCTGCAAATACTAAGTTCTCGACACAATACAAAGTAAAGGAATTTTACTCAACCAGTTACTTGAAAACAAGCACAGCGACGTAAACTTTTTAATTATAGTTTTAAAAGTATCTCATGACGTTTAACTTTCAGTTTGTTAAAGGATTAAAAATTCTATTGTAAAGGGTATCGTTTTAGCTCGAAAATAAATTGATCAGGTGATTGAACTGCAAGTTATTGAAAAACTAATTATCTCCCGTTACCGCATGACGGCAGCACAATAGAATAACTGCAGACGCATTTTGTTGCAACCTGATATCTGTTATTGGTGTGGAAAAGCTTTTAAAATGAAAAGATTCAATAGAATTCGGCTAAAATTTTAGCACAGAAGGAAACTGGTTTTAATTTAAAACAGAATGGTTATTGTGTTAACCCATGAGATAGTCTCAGCAGTTCTGTTTTATCACAATCCACAAAAATTCTTGACGTGCAACAGCCTCAGAAACTTTGAGAAAGAAAGAAAGATAAAGGTAAACAGGTGTTCCCGTGCCATTATCTTTTGGTGTTGTTGTTTACTTTTTTACAAACTGTTATGAAAACAATCCCCACAACTAGTAACTTTTGTTTAAGGTCTATGGATTCACCATGTAATGCACCTACATGCACTGTCACTGTACATGTATACCATGTATATTGCCTATCGGCAGATTGGTAGTTTAAATAATTATGATAGCTTGGACAGGTTACTTACATTTTTGAAGTATACATAAGTCTGAGACAAAGTAATCTTTACTCTATCCATTTTTGTCCATCTGTATGTCTGTGATGAATCCCCCAACTACTGACTAGCCCAAGTCTGGTAAATGTGGGTGGTGATTTTGTTCGTCCAGTAAGTCTGTTCATTTTGTTCTGGATGAACAAAATTACATACTAGCTAATGAAGAAAACCTGCACTATAAGCAATACCAAATTTTTAAGCTTGGTTCATGAATATAGAACTCTTTGAGTCTTCATTTTATGTATAAATGTAGCTATGTTTCAAACAAAAGCTGTTTAATATTCCTTTTTAAATTTTTATGAATAATATACTAGCTGTTTTGAATGATTACCTATTGTTAAAAAGTAAAATTATGAGAGACAAAAGTATGAAACATCTGCAGATCTGATGCAGTTCAATCGTGTCAATACTAATACATGTATCTTCAGTGATATCAAACTGAAAATCAAGTACATGTGAGAAACAACCATTATGAAAAACTCCCAAAGAGTGAGTAAAGCATCATTTAAATACCTGCAAAACTTGCAAAATTTAGGTAAAAAATGGTTGCACAATGCATTCCTACAAAGCCAAAATGAATCGTTGATACCTCAAAACCTGTGCAAGTGTAAATGATAAAATTAGTCTAGTAAAGTGTGGCTGGGACGATACATGTAGAAATTGCTGCATGTAGTTTTATAAGGCCATGGTTACATATTTTTCTAGTATTTTGAGTCCAATGTCAGTTGCAAAAGCCCACAGATTTATTTTCCTGAGACCTGCATGTTCAATGTAGATAAAAATGCTATCTACATAATTTACTTTTTCTGATATACGGATTTGGCTGTAAGCAATGAAATATTTTATTATTCTTTTCCTGGTTATGTATGGATACTGTTTAAATGGAATTGTACACATTGGACTTATCTTCCTTGTAAAAATGTATGCCAGACACATTTTACTAACTATGTACTCATTTTCCTAGCACTTAATTTTCCAGTAAATTTCTGAACATACATGTAGACTTGCCTTTCTCGAAAACATTGACCGAGTTACCTCTGGGGTACACATTATTACTTCTGGACCTAAATTACGAAAATCAACATACTGTAAGTTATTTAGTAATAGGATACAATTGAGAATGGAAACGGGAAATGTGTCAAAGAGACAACAACCCTACCAAAGGTAGAAAACAGCCCAAGGCCACCAATGGGTCTTCAACTAGGTACTAGTATAGTGAAAATGGAAGATACACTAAACTCCGAAGCATATAAATGAACCAAAATTTCAAAGTGGTTTGCTAAACACCACCATGAGTGTTTTTTAGCTAAATAATCTAGCATGTACTTGAACTCTACATTTAACAGTGGTTCTTATCTTTGTTTCTTCTCTTAACAACTTCTTTGTTAATGTTGGCTTCACTTATCCCATGCTTATGTTAACCATGTACATGAACCTGCTATTTAGTCATTTATTAGTTGTTTAAGTCTATCTTTGAAAAGTTATACATGTACAAGCTTATGATTAGAAAATTTCATATAAAACTTTACAGATAATTTTTTGTCGATAAAAATGCCAATAAAAATCTCTTGATTTATTTTGTATGACAATTCCTAAATGGGTAAGAAAACTGCCTTATTTGGTATTATATATCGTGGCATAAATGCCCTATTTTTTTCTTGCTGAATACTCTCGTAATGGTTTTCAGCATATGAAATTTGCTCTTTTTTATTTTATGATAGTTTAAAGCAATTTTTGTAATGTACATTATAACATGTAGATTTCAATCAACAAATAATTTGACCTAAATTTCAGAATCTGCATGGGTTAAACCATTATAAGATGTTTGTATAGTATTATTTTTTATCCAGTCAGAAGATTTGATAATAATATTAGTTTCTATTGATTTTAAAGACAATTAAGTCAGTGATGAGGCAAATAGGGATTTAATGAGCTTCAAGTTAAATGACATGTAGTAAGTACTCCATCATTTGATGAAATATTTTCCTTCATTGATTTAAGTTAGAGAAAAAAAAAACCCACATATGTTTCTTTCAATAACATTTACAATTACTATGATCAATATACAACAAGGCAGGTAAACATATTAAGTAGGAATGAGATAGATGTTTATATCGGTAGATGATACTGATGTAGAAAAAACATCAAAAGGTGATATTTATTTTATCATATATTATCCTATAATGCATTTTATGTCAGGTTTTTACTTTTATGCACAAAATTTGTTCAGGTACACTTTGATATCAAAACGGCATGTCATATGATTTATATTCTATTTGACCAAGGGTAGGTTTATTGAAAATATAACAAATTAGAGAGAAAAAATGGCCTACACATGGTATCTGGAGGGTTTGGAAGGGTTTACAGAATAGAGAATAATGGGCCAAATGTACAGAAAAATAGACAAAAGAAATAAAGAATAGAAAAAAAAGGGGACAAAAATAGAGAATAATCATTAATGAGGTGGTAAAATATAAAAAAAATATAGAATAATGGGCAAACAATTGAAGAATAGAAAAAAATGACATAAGAAAATTGAAGAATACAGAAATGAAGGACCATGCACCATCCAGACCTACATGGTGAAATCTTTAATTAACAATGAAGTGCTATAAATTTTGACTTACTTTTTGTACTATGTTGTACAACCCTTAGATTTTATTAGAACTTTCATCATAATCAATTTTAATCTTGGTTACCAAATTCCATTGTGCACCTCATATTTAATTTTTTTGTTTGTTTTAATTTAGGGGTTTCACATAGCATGGATTTATGGGAAGGGGGACATGCATGCATTTGTGAGCTCTGCTGATTGTTTTCAAGTATTTTTTTATTATTTTATTATTAGATATTTATTGCCCATTTTTTATTTTCCAAGACCAAGATAAGCCTAAGGGTCAACATCATAGTAATATCTGTATACCCAGCACCAGTGTTCAGTATGATTCAACTATATGTCTTTCAACCTTACATGTAGTGCAACACAAAGTATACATGTTATCATTTAAATAATTGTATATATATGCTAATTAAATCTTATGTTGCCAAGATTTTGCAATTAATTTGGGTTCTGGATTACCACTTAATTTAAGCAAAATAATGTTCAATGAACATTTTGCATGACGTGGTAAGATAAATGTGTTTTGTATTCATAATATTCAACATCAACAATACCGTTCATAATTCAATGTTGTTATTTCTAGTGTCTCTTTTATTTCCAATTCCTATGCCTCTTTTTACATAAGACATTAAAAATAAAGCTTTATTTAAAGTCAGTATATATATACTAGACAATTACAAACAAAGCTCTGAGAAGCTTTTAAAATAGATGAAATAAAAGCACACCAAACAATATATACGTATCAAAACATTCACACATACAATTAAACATAGAAATCAAGAGTTCGTATTAAGCATATATAAAACGAAAACAATCAAAAAGACAGCTGACACAGTAACTGCTAGCTACTCTACCATATGAGCTTTTGGGACAAAACTTTATATAAATCTGCTAGAAATAGGGAGCACTCTCAAGGACTGGACACCTTACCTTTTGTTCAACACACCCTTGCAATCATGTCACTTCAGTACATTGTATTAGAGATGACATCCCTAGTATTAGTAAACTTTATACTGATCTAATATGAAATAGATGAGCCATGGGAACTTTATAAATTAATAGTATTGAATCTGACTGATCATATTATAGTTATTTTCATTAATCTGACAATGTAAATTAGAATTGAACCCTAAGTAAACATAGTATATTGATAGTCCTGGGACTATCATTACTTGATTAGCTCAGGTGAAGTGATGATTTGTGTTGAAACATACTGATTACTAAGTTTTCATTAGATAGAAGTTTAGAGAAATGTTTGATTAAAATTGTTATGTTAGGATTGAACACAGTGGATTTTTACAAATATTCATTGAATTATTATAGCTGTTACTATGGTAATAGAGGTGAGAAATTTTACAATTATTTAAATTTCTTGCTTTTAGCAAAGGTAGCTTAAAAGATTTATTTAAATATATTGCCAAAGCTTTCATCAAATGTGCTTTTTAAATTTGTCAAACTTTTAATACTCTGATTTAGCTTAGTATGCAGCTAAAGAATTATCATGCATAGACTTCTTCTATTGCTTAAGGATACTATACAAAGTATAAATCGGCTTTTTAAATTTATTTAAAGCATTGTCTTTATTAGTATTTAAAATTTGGACGTACATGTACATAGAAACATTATGCTAGATATATAAAAAAATAAATAGATGTGGTATGATTGCATATATATATATAAGACAGCTATCAACCAGACACCAAAGGACAAGGATGTAAACAACTATAGGTCATTGTATGGCCTTTAACAATGAGCAAAACCCATACCGTATAGTAAGCTGTAAAAGGCCCTGTCATTACAAAATTTGATATCATAGGCGGATCCAGGAGGGGCCCTGGGGGGCCCAGGCCCTCCCTTTCGTGGGAAAAATTTGGTTGATTATATAAGGAATCACTGAAGCGTGACTGGAGTGGGCCCCCCCCCTTACAAAAAGTTCTGGATCCGCCACTGGATATTATTCAAAAGAGAAAACCAACAACTTGATTTATGCTAAAAATAGTAAACGAAGTATGGCAGACAGCATCTAACAACAACCACTGAATTACAGGTTCAGGGGCTCTGGACAGGCACATAAAGCATATAGGGGTTAAAGATTTTTTTGAGTGCATAACCCTTCCCCTAAATTGGGACAGTGGTGTAGCTGCACAACAAACGAAAAAAAATCTCTGACAGTTGGAAAGGCTATATGATCTGTATGAAGCTCAAAAACATAACGAAAAAGACAAAAAAACATGAAGTACCAATAAAGAGTACTCACAGTTTCTGAAAGTTATTTTAAGGCCATTTCAACAAATAAATCCATCATGTTTTTCCAGACTAGAATATCAATCTGTACACATCCAGTAGATAAGAAGCAGTCTGAGAAAAGCATTATCTTTTGCAATGCCACAATATAAGTATAATTGACAGTTATGTTTTAATTTATTAAAACCAAAATCAATGTTACTCCTGATGGAAACACTATTTAAAGATCTTACTTCATTGTTAAAAAGTTTATTTGGATCATATCTAAATTTGCAGGCTCTGTAAACATCATCTAAAAAATTAGGATGTGATATTCATTTTGTAATATGGTTTCTACAGGAACAGCAAAACTACAAAACCAAATCTTTGCTTCTGTTTGATAAGATTGTGTGGAAAAGAAGTGTAGAAAGTTATAAACAGTCAACCTAAATGTTTTTCGAGGGTACATATATACATTGCAATTAATTTGGTTGTTTTTGGGAAAACAAATTAAGATTTGCTATAGCCAAAACAAACCTTTTAAATTCTAAGTTGAAGTTTGAGATGTTGCATGATCATGGAAGTTTGTAGCTTTTCATGCACCTGAAATGTAATTATTAAGACATTGATGTTACTCAAAATTTTAAATAGTCCATTTTTTCAGACAACAGACTGTCACCGAAACAAAATTAAGCACTGTCTGATTGTCATAATTTTAGCTGATATGTTTTCAAACTGATCGTGATTATTATGGCAATACTGAAATAATACATTTGACATACATGTATGCATATAAAGCTGGGGCTCTTTTCACAAAAAAATTTTACGACAAAAGCTGATCGTAAGTTATACTGAAATGTTCATGCCTTAAAGTAATTTTGCACGTTAGTTTTTTGTAAAATGAGTGGCTTTTTCTATATACCTGTGAAGTAGAATTTAGTTTAGTGAGGGTCATAAGAGGTATATTTGCACAGATTAGCATGTAAATTCATATAAAATGGAGAATTAATATATGGTTGGAACAATGAATAGTTACCCTTTTACAGGATTACCTATGAAAAATGCCCTTAATGTATCAGCAGACAAAATCTGCAAAACACATTTGAAGAAATCAACTTCACAGGGTTGTATATATTGTATGCATGTAACCTGTCTTGCATGATCCATAGTAAATAGTTGAGCATGAATTTATGTTACAGCCTTTTCAATTTTTAGAGAATGACTGTGCAAGATATTAGCCATGTTCTTCATGTGGTCCCTCAACTATAAAAGCAGCCATCATTGTCTGATCACCAGTATTCCATGACTATATATAGATAGCTAGTTAAAAGCTGTCAAAATATATATTTTATTGGTCCATTGCAGGTGACCGTGTTGGCTCTGTTTATACTTAGCCTCTTTAAAATATAACACTCCTGTGCATTAAAGGCTGCTCAAGTTTTGAGACATAGGTATTACTATCCGGCGGCGACGTAAACTATTTGTATAAAGCTTCATATTTCAGAAGGTAGAAGACATGGATGCTTCACTTCACACCTTGTATGCAGATACCTTATGTTACGAAGTTTGTTGTCTGTCATATGTCCATTGTCCTTGACCTCATTTTCATGATTCAGCGACTAGTTGAAAAAATTTAGTTTTTTTTATCATGTGAATAACTTCATTATTATGAGTAGTAGGATAAATATATTTGGTATATGGGTTAAAGTAACATGATTAGGTCCGTTTCTTCGATACTATCAGCAGTAGGTCAACTTACTATATGTGGTGTATGGAATGAATGTAAGGGGTACATGTCAGTCTGGGAGGTTTCATCTGACCTTGACCTCATTTTCATGGTTCATTGGTCAATGTTAAGTTTTTGTGTTTTGGTCTGTTTTTCAAGTACTATAAGCAACAGGTCAACTACATTTGGTGTATGGAATGAATGTAAGGTTTACATGTCGGTCTAGCCGTTATCATCTGACCTTGACCTCATTTGCATTGTTCAATGTTGGGTTTTGTGTTTTGGTCGGTTTTCCAAATACTAATATAAATAGGTCAGCTATGTTTTGTGTATGGAACAATTGCAAGGTGTACATGTCTGTCTAGCAGGTATTATCTGACCTTGACCTCATTTTCATGGTTCATTGGTCAATGATAAGTTTTCATAATTTTGTCAGTTTATCAGATAATATAAGCAACAGGTTAACTAAATGTGGTGTATGGAATGATTGTAAGGTGTACCTGATTGTCTGGCCTGGTTCATCTGACCATGACCTCATTATCATAGAACATTGATAATGTTAAGTGTATGTGATACTTGTAGTAAAACCTTCATGTTACAGACTTTCAACATAAATTCAATGAAAAGTAAAACAGGTGAGACATTTCAGCTTGTGCACTATTGCTTTCAATGTTAAATCCATAATTACTTTATTCTTTTTATAATTTGACTGTCTGGAAAAGGTTTTATAAATATTGTTCTTTTAAAACCACTTCCAGTTTATAATACTATATTAGCCTTCAACAATTGGCAGTGAATGTGTGAAAAAAACAATAACATTGGACTTTAAATAGTAACATACCTGTAATCTGGACCTATATTTTACTTTTAAAGGATTTTAGTCCAACACATTCTTTCTGATAGAAGATTGATTGTGAAATTTATTCGTTTTCATTATTGTAAGAGGCTTTAAATTGAAATGTTTATCTTGTTTTACAAAATGTATCATTAAAAACAGATTTGAATATTTTTATGCTAAATTGGCGATGTAACTTTTCACCAGTTTTTATGTTGTTTGTGTTATATACGGATATATGTTGTGTAAAATTCTGTGAAAACAAAAATGTTTGCATATTTATATAGAAAATCCAAGCCAGAGGTAAGACTTTTTGTTTGTTTTGATACTTCAGTTTGATTGTCCAATTTAAGGATCAATGCAAAAAAGTTGGAAATACAAGTAGAAGTACCGGTATGTATAAGATAAATATAATGTTAATACAAACATCATTTATTGTAATTTATTTTCTGATCAAACAGATGCAAGTTGTTATCCATATTTTCACAATTTTACAGGAGTTGTTACAGAAGTTAGAACAATCTGCAGATGTTGCTGATTGGTTTACTTTAATAGAAGATGCAATCAAAGTTCAAACAGCCAAACCGGTATGTTGTAATAAACAGTATGGCGTTGATTTGCATGTTTACATTCATAAGTATGAAAGATGGATTTCTGTTGTTGTTTTGAGATGAAAAGCATATAATTGTATTCCTGAAAGAGAAAGATCAGAGACAAAGCATGACATAACTTAATTTCATTGGCAATAGGAGTAAACTGAACAGTGGGGGGACTTCTGAAAGTGACAAGATAAAGATAAACTTTTCAATAATCTAATAGTATAGAAGTTAAAAAGTGTCCTCTTACAAGATTTTTTTTGACAAAAAATAGTTGGGGTGGGGGAAAAGCAAAAGCATATTTTTGCACCTTTGCTCTTACGACCCTGATTATGATTTTTCTCCGATTGAACTTTCTCAGTGTTTGAAAAAGTTGTTCTTTCTATAAAAGTTTTCCCTTTTTATAAACTGAGATAACAGGTGAACACATCACCTATTTTTATTTGTTTAAACCTCAAGTGTTTGTTAGAAATTGATGTTAAAAAGAATGATTGGGCTGTTAAAAAGGAATACCAGTGTGTGATCAAATTTAAATGTCAATGTTATGTGGTGTGTAAACAGTAAAAAGCATGAATTTTGACCTTGAAGTATGTTTTTAAATGGAAATATATTCATTTTCTTAAATGCATGCTATTTAATTTCATATTTACAGAATTTAAAGGGCTGCATGCTAGGTGATTAAAGTCAAGATGTATAAAATTTTGTTCAGTCTTCTGAAAAACTTTGATACAACTTATCCCTTATGTTGTCATCATAACTTAGAAAATTGCATTACAATTGTAGAGTATAAATGATTGTTCACGTATATATATACTTTTACTCAGTTTAATCTTAAGAGTCTGTTCTTTATAATGTGAGTCAGTGGCTAAACTATGTTTAAAAATGATGTATTAAATTTAAAACAATAAACATATTGTTGTAAAGGAACCTGTTCAATATAGTCCAAATCTGGCCCCTATTTCTAGGTAAAATTTGGACTCTAGTTAAAACGCTGACCAGATAGGAATTTTTTCAAACTAACATACCTGAGTATACCTTGAGTTGTTGCTAGCTCAGGCCAATATAAGTTTTTGGACCTCATATAATTTCTTATTCACTGTACAAGCCACTATGTAAGTTTGTAACTTATACTATTCATTTATGATGTAAAAGTCTGAAACATGGTTCTAACAGAAGTTGTCAAAAACTGAATTATGTAATTTTTGTCTGAGCAGATTTGTTGTGTGGTATACATAGCTGAAACAGAAACTGGACAACTTCAGGATGTCAGAAAAAATCCAATTCCAAACCAAGGAGTATGCTGGTTGGTATTTTGTAATATAATAGCTCAAGCTCAAGTATGAATATATAAGCAGTACTGTGAGTGGAAATAGAATAAATGGCCAATAAAAGATAAAAAGCACAGTCTCACTATAATTCCTGCTTATTATATCTTTCCTGTTGATCCATTGTATGTTGGCATTTGTTAACTTTCAAAGTTTTGTTTTCTCTTAAAATACTAATGGCATGATAATTTGTGGAAATAACATGTTCATTTTTAAAGGGGCATTAGCTACGAGATATAGAAAAAAATAATATGATTTTTATGCCTCTGCCGTAGCGGAGGGGGCATTAAGTTTTACCCTTGTCCGTCCGTCCGTCTGTACGTCCCAAAGTTGGTTTCCGTTCTCTTACTTTAGTTATCTCAACCAAATGTTATGAAACTTATACACAATGCTTATTACCACAAAATACAGACCAAGTTTGAATTTTGGTGGTGTCACTTTAACTGTTCTAGAGTTATGCCCCTTTACAAATGGAAAAATTGCTGAATTTTTCGTTTCCGTTCTCTAACTTAAGTTAGCCTCAACCAAATGTTATGAAACTTATGCACAATGCTTATTACCACAAAACACAGATCAAGTTTGAATTTTGGTGGCGTCACTGTAACCGTTCTAGAGTTATGCTCCTTTACAAATGGAAAAATTGCAGAATTTTTTGTTTCCATTCTGTAACTTTAGTTTGCCTCAACCAAATGTTTTGAAACTTATACACAATGCTTATTACCACAAAATACAGATCAAGTGTGAATTTAGGTGGCGTCACTTTTACTGTTCTAGAGTTATACTGTTGTGGAGTTATGCCCCTTTACAAATGGAAAAATTGCAGAATTTTTCGTTTCCATTCTGTAACTTTAGTTTGCCTCAACCAAATGTTATGAAACTTATACACAATACTTATTACTACAAAACTCAGATCAATATCAAATTTGGGTAGTGTCACTTTTATCGTTCTTCAGTTATGTCCCTTTATAACTTTATATGATATGCAAGCAGGGTCAACATCTGTGTCCCATGGATACATTCCCCATTTATTTTTTGTTCAATCATCAATGAAAGTTAAATAGTGAAATAATAATTGGCTTTTAGCAGCCAATTTGGTTCAATTTTGTCAAAATAAGCTAATAAACATCGCTGATGAATTATTCACTTGCAAGTGAATGATTCGACATCATTGAATCCGTATTCATGTGACCTTCAATCTAACCCCTTAGCTGGACATGGGTTATGCATGTATTCAGCTATTAAAAGGAAAAGAATTTCAACATTGAAAGTGAAACAAGGATTAACCATTTGGTTGACCGATTCTACCCTCGAAAAAATCATTCTACCCACGAAAAAATCATTCTTATACAGGTGAAAACGATGATCAACATATTTTTTAACCTATAATAAGAAATCAAACAGACTAAGAAAACAGGGCATGAAAAATTTTTTGGCAGGCCACTTACCCAAGGGAAAGTGATTAAAAAAATTCACTTTCCCGTGTGCAAATCCACTATCCCCGGTTGAGACCTGCTAAGCAGGTCAAATTTGCTAGGGGGGTTGGGGGGCATGCCCCCCCAGAAAATTTTGAAATTTAAGATGCAAAATCCTGCAATCTGAGCATACTTTTAAGGGTTTAACATGTCAACTGATTATAATAATACAAACTGGTTCCTGTGCTACAAACCGGATATCATAAATTTAAACCAGTCCTCTAACGATCTAACTAAATACCAAAAGGCACACATGTAAATCGCGTAAAAATGTGATGAAATCATGGAAATTCAACGCTCAGATGATCTTACAGAAGTATTTTGACATTTAAACAAGTAATCTAGGGACAAATTATTTTATTTATTTACCGGCTAACGACGGGATATTAACAACTGCAATGTCACTTTCCCGTGTAATAATTTAGACTATTTACCAGATTTGTAATAACATAAGCCACACGACGGGTGCCACATGTGGAGCAGGATCTGCTTACCCTTCTGGAGCACCTGAGATCACCCCCAGTTTTTGGTGTGGGTTCGTGTTGCTTAGTCTTTAGTTTTCTATGTTGTGTCATCTGTACTATTATTTGTCTATTTGTCTTTTTATTTTTGGTCATGGCATTGTCAGTTTGTTTTCGATCTATGAGTTTGACTGTCCCTCTGGTATCTTTTGTCCCTCTTTTACTTTCCCCGGGAAACGAGAAATGGTAATCTTTATGCCCTGAGAAAAATCTAATTGCTCGTGCTCACTATCTGTTTATATTTATATTTATATTTATGTTTTCATCAGGTTAAATGACCCTCAGGAGTCTTCAGAGGTCATCTCAATGATTAATTAGATGGTGTCTAGACAAAAATACACACGAAATGTTGATACATATTATTGAGTCCATGCATTGTTAATTGTTTATTTTAGACTTTTTGTACTTTGGTTGTACGTTTTAGTATGTTATAAATTAAATATGAGAATTTAAGTCAAATAGGTGAGCATGAATTTGACAGCAAATGCCACTTTAAAAGTTCTAATTTTTTTCCTATCAGACAAAAACTTGGTTGCAGAGGCATTTTCTATTACTCTCTTTTCAGAGTTTAAAATTTTTTTTCAACTTAAGCTGAAAACTTTTGTAAATTTTAGTTGGATTGCATGAATTACAAAACCAGCCTATAGTATGGTGATGTCAGTTGGAGGTTTGGCAAGCAGATTGGGGAGAGAGAGGGTGGGATAAGTGGGTACCTATTTTGTGTAATCAACTCCTACTAGAGAGTTGATCTTGATCCTTGAAACTCCTTAGAAAGATTGCACTCATATTTATAGTTGAGCACCTGCTACTATGGAATTATTTGAATATTTTTTTTCATTTTACCAGACAAAATTAACAAAGGACTATACCAATTTTGTGTAATCAACGCCTCCTACGATTTTGACCTTAGAATCTGGATCCTTGAAACCCCACAAAAATATTTTACATATATTGATGTTTTGCACCTGTTATTATGGAATTGTTTTAGAGCTTTTTCCCCCTATTTTTCCATAATTGGGAGCCTAGTCATTTTTCATATATACATTTTATATTTTCATATAGTTAAATGTTCATTAAAGACCATTCTCCATTCTTTAAGAATTTCAAACCTGCAGAGTTTCCTTATCATGAAGATATATTAAATTTTGAACAGTATATGACCAGTTATTCAATATCAAGGTGCTGATTGTTTTTTTGACAAAGTTTCAAGCTGCACTTTTATAAAGCCAAGTTAAAAGTTTAAATGAATTTTCCAAACATTGCCTTAAATTGACAAACATAGATAAAATATGTAAAAGTTAGCATAAAAAGATTAAGTATCTATATAAGCTAAAGTTTATCTGAGTTTTATGACTCTGTTTAATACTATATTATTGGCATATAGTAGTTTTAAATACCTTAGTAAGCTATGTATAAACATTTCAAATTGTAAACATATTGATCATTTATATTCTTCACTACTTAGCAAAATACCATGTTTATAGAGCCAGTCATCCTTGTATAAAGACTCTTATGATTGCAGTTCATTATATATTTTACCTGGATAACATTTAAAAAATAATCAATAGATGATATGTATGTGATTAGGATTATATTAGTACTGTATTGAACTGTTGTCTTAAATTCATATTCATTTAAAAGACAAATTTGTAATTTGAAAAGATTTCATACATATGTGTATCATTCTGGTATACCCATAGTGTTGATTATGTCTTTATTTTTATAAACCAAAAATTAGTGATTAGGGTGTATTAGGCCTAAAATTCTAATTTTTGAATTAAGTGTGACCCCTGTCCATCTGAACGTCTGTCCCTACGTAGTCCAAAAATTCATTCTCTAACTTTAGTTTGCCTCAACCAAATGTTATGAAACTTAAACACAATGCTTATTACCACAAAATACAGATCAACTTTGAATTTAGGTGGCGTCACTTTTACTGTTCTAGAGTTATGCCCCTTTACAAAAGGAAAAAATTGCTGAATTTAAATCAGATCTAATTTGAATTTGAGTAGTGTCACTTTTACCATTCTTTAGTTATGTCCCTTTATAACATTATATGCAAGCAGGGGCATCATCTGTGTCCCATGGACACATTCTTCTTCTATTTAAAATATATTGCTGATTTGGTTCGATTATGAGTGTAGGAATCTTTAAGGTAGTGTGGTTGATGACCAAAAAAGGACCTAATATTTTCGTACTTTGGAAAATTGTAGTTTATCTCATAATTTAAAAGAAACTATAAAAAAGACGATAGGTCATCAAGCATGTTTTTAAGTCACAGGTTGTGAAAAATTGACATATTTTGTAAGGATAACACAGGGAAAAGGCATTATGATCTGAATAGAAATAAAACTAAATGAAATAATTTTGAAATGAAAATGAGAAGATAATCAAACCAAATAATTGGCTTGGATTGCTAGTTTTCCTGCTGAAGGTTTCTCTCCAGGTACTCAGGCTTCCTTCACCAATATTATAAAAGCTGGCCGCCATGATATTACCAATAGTACTGAAAGTGACATTTAACATAAACAATTAATTAAACTGCATACAAAGTATCAGGGAAATAGCAGAGCTTTTGATAAAGTACATCAGTGCTGCTCTCCATAAGTCATGTTTTCCTTTTTTAGAGCAATGGAATACTTGTGGGATTTTCTCGCTGTAATGAAGACCCATTAGTGGCCTTGAGCTGTTTTCTGCTCTTAGGTTGGGTTGTTGTTTCTTTGACGCATTCCCTGTTTCCATTCTCAATTTTATTTTTTTTTGTATTGTAATTTTGAATGGAATCTCATACTGTATTTTACATTTGGTACACCAGGTGAAAAAAAAAACTAACAATTGATACAGTTTAGCAAGGATAGGATGTTGAATATCGTCCTTATGGTTAAATGACTTTATGAAATAATAGATTTTTGTATAACTGCCTTTCATTTGTTGTGTCAATGGAGCACTCTTTTAAATCAGTTGATTACTGGTTAGTGGTAGAGTGGGTGCTTCTCTTCAGTAATTCTTGTTTGATTGTAATTTTGGAGTCAATTCAGGATTCATGAAATGACTAATTAAAGTTGTCAGACCACCAATTTCTCCCTCTAATTTAGAACGTATGTAAAAGTAGCCCTACTCTGACACAAAATAGTGCTTTTGATGTCCTTGTTTACTTAAACTAACCAACAAATTTGCAGAAATGAAACTTTTGGGGAAAGAGAAATATATTTAGACCATTTTGAGCCAAAATTTACTTGTCTATCAGTTTGCATTAAAAATTGAGGATTAATGCGCTCCATAGTATACTAATTTAAGATTTCCAGAAAACCAGGGGTTATTTTTAGAGTACCTCTTTTTGAAGGTCAGTTTTTTTGTTAGAAGGCTTTAAAGGCATGCAGTAAGCTGATACATGTACAATTCAGGATATACCTGGTTTCTATGAAGTTAAACTTAAGGTAAAATATTTAGAAAACTGTGAAAATTGCAAAATTTGGTTGAACAGATAGGGATATTTAATTGGTGGTCTGACACCTAAAAGGAGATATATATATAGTTCTACAAAAGGTGTAGAGACAATTTTTTATTGGTTATTTCCATCTGTGACGTTTTTCAAACATAACAAGTTTGTTATGACATTCTGTGAATAGCATTCAAATGACCTCATATCCTATTCTTTGGACACTGACAGCATGGAACAAAATGCAATAACATCAGAGTGTCGATAACTTTTAAATAAGTATTATGATGATAGGCTTTTTATACGACCGCAAAAAAATTTTTGTGGTCGTATATTGGTATGACGTTGGCGTCATCGTCGTCGTCGTCCGGCGTCGTCGTCTTCCGGCGTCGTCGTCCGAAGACGCATTAGTTTTCGCACTCTAACTTTAGTTTAAGTGAATGGATCTCTATGAAATTTTACCATAAGGTTCAATACCACAAAAGGAAGGTGGGGATTGATTTTGGGGGTTATGGTACCAACAGTTAAGGAATTAGGGGCCAAAAAGGGGCCAAAAATAAGCATTTTCTAGTTTCCAGACAATAACTGTGGAACGGTGTATGGATCTCTCTGAAATTATACTACAAGTTTCCATACCACAAAGGGATGGTTAGGATTTGCTTTGGGGGGTTATGGCTCAAACCGTTTAAGAATTAGGGGCAAAAAAGGGGGAAAAACAAGGTTGTCCTGGTTAATGGACAAATACTTTAGTACAAAACATAATTTAAAGCAGTGTAAGGGAGATAAATCAAATTCATCATTGAAATTATCTCCCTTACACTGCTTTTAAATTATGTATAAAGTAATGGTTAATGAACAATTAAGATAATTTAAAACAGTGTAAGGGAGGTAATCCAAATACAACGTTTTGGTTACTTCCCTTACACTGCTTTTAAATTATGTTTAAAGAAATGCATATTTATAAAGGAAGACCAGTAAAAATATCTGCAAATGTTGCATCTTTTTTTTTTACAACAAAATCCATATGAAAGATATAACACTATATTTTAAATTCTAATATAAAATAGGTTAAGTTAGCACTATGGTAAATTTAAATGGGTAATTATAGTTGCAAACTCCATTGGAAATTTGAATTGAGATTATGATCATATCTTGAGGGAAAGAATTTTTTGGGGGAAAAAAGGGGGTGGGGTGGGGGGTGATAGAAATTGTGGGGGGTCAATTTTTTCTCATTTCAGATTTCAGAAATTAAAAAGAATTATTCTTCAAATATTATTTTTTTTTCAAATTTCAAATATTGAAAAATTTCAAGAAGTAATCTTTAATTGGACAGTATGCGCATGAGTTTGTAAAATCTTTGACCACATTTATTTATTTGTTATGCCAAATCTAACCGTGTATTTAGATTTTTAATTTTGGGTCCAGTTTTCAAATTGGTCTACATTAAGGTCCAAAGGGTCCAAAATTAAACTTTGTTTGATTTTAACAAAAATTGAATATATGGGGTTATTTGATATGCTGAATCTAAACATGTGTTTAGATTTTTGATAATGGGCCCAGTTTTCAAGTTGGTCCAAGTTGGGGTCCAAAATTAAACTTTGTTTGATTTCAACAAAAATTGAATATATGGGGTTCTTTGATATGCTGAATCTAAACATGTATTTAGATTTTAGATTTTTGGCCCAGTTTTCAAGTTGGTCCAAATTGGGGTCCAAAATTAAACTTTGTTTGATTTCAACAAAAATTGAATATATGGGGTTCTTTGATATGCTGAATCTTACTATGTATTTAGATTTTTCATTTGTGGGCCCGCTATCAAATTGGTTCATATTGAGGTCAAAAGGGTCCAAAATTAAACTTTGTTTGATATCAACAAAAATTGAATATATGGGGTTCTTTGATATGCTGAATCTAACCATGTATTTAGATTTTTGATTTTTGGGCCCCGTTATCAACTTTGTCCACATTGAGGTCAAAAGGGTCCAAAATTAAACTTAGTTTGATTTTACCAAAAATTGAATTCTTGGGGTTCTTTGATATGCTGAATCTAAACATATGTTTAGATTTTTGATAATGGGCCCAGTTTTCAAGTTTGTCCAAGTTGGGGTCCAAAATTAAACTTTGTTTGATTTCAACAAAAATTGAATATATGGGGTTCTTTGATATGCTGAATCTAAACATGTATTTAGATTTTAGATTTTTGGCCCAGTTTTCAAGTTGGTCCAAATTGGGGTCCAACATTAAACTTTGTTTGATTTCAACAAAAATTGAATATATGGGGTTCTTTGATATGCTGAATCTTACTATGTATTTAGATTTTTCATTTGTGGGCCCGCTATCAAATTGGTTCATATTGAGGTCAAAAGGGTCCAAAATTAAACTTTGTTTGATTTCATCAAAAATTGAATTCTTGGGGTTCTTTGATATGCCAAATCTAACCGTGTTTTTAGATTTTTAATTTTGGGTCCCATTTTTAAATTGGTCTACATTTAGGTCCAAAGGGTCCAAAATTAAACTTAGTTTGATTTTAACAAAAATTGAATTCTTGGGGTACTTTGATATGCTGAATCTAAACATGTGTTTAGATTTTTGATTATGGGCCCAGTTTTCAAGTTTGTCCAAGTTGGGGTCCAAAATTAAACTTTGTTTGATTTCAACAAAAATTGAATATATGGTGTTCTTTGATATGCTGAATCTAACCATGTATTTTGATTTTGGAAATTGGACCATAATAGGTAAATTAAAAAAATTGAAGTTCTTAGACCACATTCTTTCTGTGTCAGAAACCTATGCTGTGTCAAATATTTAATCATAATCCAAATTCAGAGCTGTTTCAAGCTTGAATGTTGTGTCCATACTTGCCCCAACTGTTCAGGGTTCGACCTCTGCGGTCGTATCAAGCTGCGCCCAGCGAAGCATTTTATTATCAATAAAATGTCAATCCTAAAAAGGGTTACTGTAAAACAAATGAAAAAAACCCCATTGTTATAATTATTCAATATTGAAATAATGACCAACACAAATGGCTAACCTAATAATGTTGCGTGTGCACTTATAGAAAAGTAATATTTTTGAAAAATATTAGAAAAGAAATCCTGAGGATTAATTTCAATATGACAAAAGATATGCCCTTTTCCCATACTTTTACCTAGAACTCTAGTGCTTTATGGTCATGATTAGATATAGACTATAAAAATGTATTGACTTGACATAATACATGTAATAACAATATAATGATAAGGCTTGGAAATGGGGAAAATGTGAGGCTTTCTGTGTTTCCTGTCGTATCCTCATATTGTTTTTATGTCAAGTCAGTACACTACTATTGTCTTTTTAAAAATATTTCTTCGAACTGCTTTTAAAGGTTCAACCTAGAAGAGACCTCTTACTTTGGCTTAAGGCAATTTACAGTCAGTGATTGTATACCACATAAAAATATACAGTGGATGCATTTTGACTGCTTATTTAAATAGAAAAATTGCAGTAACAATAAGAATATAGGGCAAACGTTTTTTATTTCAACACCTTATCTTTTTCAAAAATTGCTGTTGATGAAATTGAAATGGAATTTAACTATTTTGTTTTCTGAAAGCTTATTCTTTTTCTTTTAAAGAAATTGTATTGGGTCATGCCCTTTTGTTTTAGAAATTACTTCATCAATATCTAGTCTAGGACAAGGATTCTAATAAGTGTGGGTCCTAGGTCTAGGACCTGTATTTTCTTTGAGGGGAACCTTTGCTTTTTGAATTACAACCATCAAGGACCTCCCATCCTTTACACTGATGGTTTATACATGACCTTTGACTTTTTTAAGGAGGGTCTTTAACTTAAAATTCAAATCGTCCTGGACCTTTTTTCTTTATGAAAATTTAAACCCCTGCAGCATACCAAGAACAATAAAAATTATTTAATTGAGAGTATTGATTTCTTAATGTGTTTCCAAGTCAGATCTTTATATTGATATGTACCAAATTATAAATTTCAAGTTGTGTATAATTTACTTTTGTTTTAAACATAACTGTTTAATATTTATTATAGGGAAGCCTACAAAACCAGACAAACAAAACCTTTCAAACTGCTGGCTCAAAATGATCCAATTACAACCATAGGAAAACAGAAATGTACATTTGACCCTAAATATGGTAAGATTAGAAGTATGTCTCCGTGAATTTTTGTCAATGCTTCATACAGAGAGGAAGTATATTTCATACAATATCATGTGCAACTTCTTGTTTTGAGATGAATTTTACATCATATAAATTGCTCCTGGAATGTCTTTACCAAGATTTGGGTAAACAAAAAGAAACATCTGTTATTTTAGATTAAAACTTGCACAAAATATCACCTTCAGACTTCCATATCAAGTCTGAGTTTGATTTTATTATCATCCTAAGTAAACAATGAACTCTATGTTCCCTCTTTTAAATTCATATTATTTACAGATCATAAATTTTCCAATTAAACACAAGATTTTGTTCCTTTCCGTGATGTCTCATTTCATCAAAACACTATTGTAAAGGTAAAAGAAAGGATATGTCAAATGCTTTGAATACAGTTATTTTTGTTTCTTAAGATATCTTTAGTCTGTCCATTTTAATTGATTTCAAGAGATTTCATTTAGTTTTTGAAACAAGAATGAAAATGATTGTGTCGCAAATGGTAGCAGATCTATATATATAGCTTTATTTGAAATTTTATAGTAGACAGTTATTTGCTAAATAATACTAACATTAAATTGTTGTTCTATGGTATTAAATTCACGCAGCTTCAGCCTTGTAGTATCAGACAAACTATATCACTCAAAACTTGATAATCTATGTTAATTAATAGACCAATTTTCACTTGTATGCTAATTTGTCTGCCATTACTTAAAGTCACACTAGTACAGCAAAATTTTGAATCACAAATGAAACTATTTGACATCAAATTTAAAAGTGATTATTGCATGACTCAAAAGGTTATTAGGAGCTAGATCCTGGGTCATTTGGAACAAAATTCAGCTCACTTCCCAAGAGTGTTAATACATCTATTAAGCATAGGGTAAAAGCAAGAAACTTTAAACCTTTTTGATACAATACTCTTTATCACAAACCTGTAATATTTTACAAGCAGAAGTCTGGAAAAAAATTTCTATGAAAGAGACCATCTTTTTGGACATTTACTATCAGTGTACTCTGAATAGTTAATTATAAAGATTTATAAGGAAACTTCTGTTTTAATCTTTAGGAATCTTCATGCCTTTGAAAAGTGAACATTTAAATAGATAAAATTAATCAAACTATTTCTAAACTGCTAAGAATATATATTTGTAATTCATTAATGCATGTTATCAATTTTTTGCATGACCACAGTGTTAAAATTTATCTAGAAATAAAATCAGAAACTCCTTCAGACATTGCAATTCATAAGATTCATTAGATAGTGGACATGAAATGCACATTGAATTCCTTAAAATAGTATACAAATGAAATTTGTTTCTAAATTGAGATAAATTTAATTTGAATTTAGCTTATTGTTTTGCAAGGATGGTAACAAATTATCACAAACTGTTCACTGTATTTATATTTGATAAGTTACATCTCTTACGTAGATTTGAGAATAGCATTATTATCTGTAGAAATAGAGAATATAAAAATATGGATGTGGTATGTCAATTGCCAATGAGACAACGATCCACCAAAGTTCAAATGAAGTGGATGTAAGAAATTATAGGCAACTGTACAGCCTTCAAGAAGATAAAACCCATACTGTATAGTGGGCTATGAAAGGCATTTATAAGTCAGTTTGAAATTAACATATCATTGCATCTGTATTTACATCTTTCTTATCCAAAAAGGTGAGAATAATGTTTTAAGCCACTTTAACTCTAGCTTTTTTTTATTTATTGGAGACATGAGTCTGGTCTAGTTTTGGTGTAATGTCAAGTTTTCTCCTACTGGAAGTTGAAACTTTGTGAAGTTTTACTTGAAATTTTACTTTTGTGTATCAAAAAGCAGTCTGCATTCAACTTTCAATAATCAATAATTCAACCTGAAAAGAAAACATTTAGAAAATATGTAAATAAATTGCCAACCACAGTAAGAATAAGATTTTTCAGATTTGTTTTACCATGGAAGTATTATATTGACAGGAACTCCAACAAACCGATTTCAAACGTTTATAGTGCGATGCCGCAAAATCGTTAAGTATCTGTTAATTAACTTGACATCTTTCAATTAGTCGTATCGGTGCATGGGTTCAACAACGTTTTCGGGATACTCGTAATTACGGAATTTACCGAAGTAACCGGATGTATACATAAATGTCAAGGATATGACATTTAACGACCATGCCAATATTTGGCAGTTGACAGTTTTTTACTAGGTTTTCTATGTTAATAAACTATCGTCACTTACAAATATTTCACTAATCAGTATGGAAGTGCACGATTTTGATGATGAAGAATTTGAAAAAATTATCGGTGAAGACATTGAAGAGTTTTATTGCTTTTGTAAATCTGAAACTTGTTCAATAGAAAAGATAAAGGCTGTACGGTGACCTATAGTTGTAAACTTCTATGTCATTTGGTCTCTGGTGGAGAGTAGTCTCATTGGCAATCATATCACATCTTCTGATTTTTATATTGAATTCTAATAAATTTCTTGTGTAAGGAAACACATCATGAGTTGTAATCTGCATGTATAATTGAGGTTTACTGCTAACTTTGACAAATATCTTGTCGCATTAGTTACTGAAAGTCCGATGTCAAATATTTCATGCATTTCAACAAAAACAAAATATTATAAATTTCTAAACAAACGCTGCAAGATGTTTCAGATATGTTAAGCCTTTACAAATACATTTAATTCTAAACTGGTTAATTCTAATGATAAAATTTTATAAGAATATACTGCTTAGGACCCAGCATTATGATAGTTCTTTAAATGCATCGAAATATTTAAAATTAAGCCATTATTTCCCAAAACAAGTCCGTCAGACGTCAGAGCAATCTCGGACTAGGTTGAAGGTTGTTTTAAACTTTTGAATTTATTCAAAAGGTGTACATGTAATCGGTGTTATAACCTGATACATGCTATATGAAGAGGCCATCACGTGCGTATAATTATCCACCTCTCTTAGTGTTTAAAACATTTTTCTATAAATATGTTAAATTACATTTTACGATATTTTACGATAGAGAAAACCATAAACATTTGTGTTACACTCGATTAAAGTTTTCAATCTTTAACTTAAAATTTGAGTTATCCGGCACCATCCGGCACACTACATGCGCATCACATTATTTTCTGCAAACACTCTACTTCAGAGTAATGTAATTTTCATAACCAGATATTTCCCGATTTCCTAGTTCCAGTGATAAAAACATATCAAACAAAACTAAAAATAATATTACCTTCTTTCCGAATACAGTTAACTTTCTTTTGTCATTCTGTTAAATATGGACCGATTTTTTAGATTGTTTCAGCTGTAGTCTTTAATTATTGAACAGAAACAGGTGTCGTTATTCATGTAGCGATTCGCAATTAGCCACGGGAGTTTCCGTGTTAATTTACATTGGTAGGTAGATAAGACCTTCGATAACAGATCACGTGATAAGATCAGTTTCTGTAAACTATACAGACGAAGGCGGCATCGCAGATACCCCACAAAGAAGTTATCACGTACTTGAAAAACTGAGTCGGAACCTTTTATTTTCCTAAAGAAATCAGTGGGATGCGAATGTGCTAATTTTTTCGTTGGAGTTCCTGTCAATATAATACTTCCATGGTTTTACTATTATCTATCCTTGATTATGAAAATTATACCTGATTTATATAGAAAAATTAAAATTTTCAATTATAATCAATAATCGAATCATTGATATTACTACCTAGTGTGCCAGAGTGTATTAGTAATAAACTCGAAAAAACTACAGAAAACAAAATTTTTTGTTTGGTTCTGCTTGCGTTTATTCATTCTTGTAAATTATATACTTGATATTAGGAGGTAGGAAAATAGGTTTTTAGTTCACCGTTCCGAAGGAACTGTGTGCTTTTGCCATCACTTGGCGTCCGTCGTCTTCCGTCGTCGTCCGTCTGGTGTAAACTATTTCAAACATCTTCTCCTCTGAAACTACTGAACCAATTCAACCAAACTTAAGCTGAATGATGCTCAGGGTATCTAGAATAAAGTTTGTGTTTTATCTACTGTTTTGTCAAATAACATGGCTGCCATGGCTAAAAATAGAACATAGGGGTAAAATGCAGTTTTTTGGCTTTAGATAAAGATAAACTGTGAACAGCAAAAATGTTCAGCAAGGTAAGATCTACAAATAAGTTCATATGATCAAAATTGTCAATTGACCCCTCAAGGAGTTATTGCCCTTTAAGGACAATTTTACACAATTTGTTTATCATGTTTTCTAACTTTAAAAAATCTTCTTCTCTGAAACTACTAAACCAATTCCAACCAAACTTGAGCTGAATGATTCTCAGGGTATCTAGAATAAAGTTTGTGTTTTATTTTCTGTTTCGTAGAAAAACATGGCCTCCATGGCTAAAAATAGAATGTAGGGGTAAAATGCAATTTTTGGCTTATATCTCAAAAACCAAAGCATTTAGAGCTAGTCTGATGGGGAGGTAAAAATGTTTATTAGGCCAAGCTCTGTCAGCCCTGAAATTTTCAGATGAATCTAACAACCCATTGTTGGATTGCTGCCACTTAATTGGTAGATTTAAGGAATTTTTGCAGATTTTGGTTATTATCTTGAATATTGTTAATGATAAAGATAAACTGAAGACATCAAAAATGTTCAGCAAAGTAAGATCTACAAATAAGTTTTGTATGACCAAAATTGTCAATTGTCCCCTTAAGGAGTTATTGCCCTTTAAAATCAATTTTTCACAATTTGTTCATTTAGTTTGCTTACTTTAAAAAATCTTCTCCTTTGAAATTGCTGAATTAATTTCAGCCAAACTTGGGCTGAATGAGTTTCAGAGTATCTAGTATAAATTTTGTATTTTATTTTCTTGTACGTCAAGAAACAGCCACTATGGCTAAAATGAAACATAGGGGTAAAATGCATTTCTTTGATTTTGAAGAAAATATGACAGATACAAAGAACATTTCAATGGAAGTTTTAAGCCATTCATTAGTATATATTGAAAAGTATATATTGAAAAGCAAAAATAATCATTGATGAAAGATTTAAGCAAAAAATTACAGGTAAGCGATTCAGGCTCTTGAGAGCCTCTTGTTTAAGTTCCCTATAAGAAAAAGTATTGTCATAGAGAAGGTGGGTAAATTACAATCAAACATAAACAAACCTTTATAATAATAATCAATTGATATCATATTATTAGACTGTAAATTAAACATTCTTGGTGTTATTCTGACATTTTTGTAGCAGATATATGTAAATAGATATAAGTAATGGAAATTATACTGTGTAGAAATAGGAGAGGTGTTAATATTTTAGTGATTAGTTTATTAATTTTGCATGTTTGATTATTGTATATATATGCTGTTCAGGTGAAATATGAGTAATAATCATATGGAAGATCGTAGAAGGGTTGTAACAATACTGACCTTAGTTTAAAGTCAATACCCTCACTTTACTAAAGGTTTGATCTGATTTTATTGAATTAGGATTATCAGTATTTGCTTTTATGAAGGTGTTTATTAGTTATTTGCATCACAATATTAGACAAGTAAATATTTTTAAGGCATATAAGCACCAAGTGAACAGAACTAAGCTGTAAGAGCCTTAATAAATGTTAAAACAAATTTTAAATGTTAAAAGAAGCCAGTAATTTAAGGGTTTGATAAATTTAAAGTTTAAAGTTTAGAGCATTAGGCTTATCATAGTCAGTTAGAGTGTTAAGTTAATGATGCTTTAGAACAATATTTAAGTAAGACTGTGGGAAAAAGTTACATAAGGGGTTATATATACCGTTAAGGGTTGCATCTGTATAGAATCAGAATTTAATATTTACATTTATATTTTTTAGTGTATTGTCAGCCTATTACAGATGAAAATCAAGTTGTATCAGTTTTGGCTGTGAGTATGTTAAATTTTTTTTAGTATGGTGCCTTAAATTACTGAAAAGATTAAAAGGGTTACTGTGATAATTTTAGTTTTAAAATGAATAAATGAGAATGTATTTGTACTTATGGCTTATGACATAACGGCTCATGTATGAAACTTTTTGTCATGTTTTTCATACAAATAACAAATCAAAGCTTTCTAAAATTTTAAACAACTTTCATGTGTATTTTTATCCTTCACTCATCAACTTCCTGTTTACTGAATACTTATAGTGGGGTATCAATAGTGAGCAATAGCTCACAGTTCAATTTGTGATCTTTTGACATAGAGGTACGATGTTTGACATATCTGTTTGTATATCAAGAAAGGTAGCATGGTAGACACATGCTTAGTTCACTAAAACAGTTCTAGTTTGCAATTGGTACAATCAGGAACATATATATTGACGGGACTTGACACTACCTGATTGTAGTCGATTTTATCGTCGTGCCATAGTTAATAAAGATACGATACAGAAACGGACATGTGTTAAAAACGGACTCGCTATTATCCTAATAATTTCTGATATTATCAATAAAATGTCATTCAAACTAGATTTATAGTGATGCTAGTGTATCAAACTTGTATTCTGTCACTTCAAATTTGTTAAAATCGCAAGCATTTCATCACAGAATTGTGCAGAATGCAAACAAGGTAATAAAAAAATGGCGGCCATTGCCGCGATGATTTACAAATTCCCAACAAACTATTATAAAACACTTCACATCAAATAAATCAAACTTATTATGGTACTTTTATATGACAAAATATATCTACTAAATGATAAAACTTGTATTTATTTACAATTAGAGTTAAGTGGTTTATTTGTTGAGCAGTTTTGATAGTTTTTCAGTCAGATGCTACCAAAATCCGTAAATCTCGGAAAGTCTTGGGGAGTCAGAGATTTTATCAATTTTTTACTGAAAAGCGTATCAGATTCATTTCCCGTTAGATATACTGTTCCCAGGTACAATTTTAGGTTTCTTTTATGGTTTTGTTTTCATTTCATGCTCCAGTCATTCCCAAGGTCCGTCAGACATGTGGCAATGTCCAGAAATAAATGGTTTGGTCAAGTAAAATGTCATCAATTACTGGGCCAAATAACCGGTGTAGATGTAGAAATTTTGTTACACATGTACTCATATTGTAAATGACTGCTAAAACAATGACTGGACCAGTAATGCTTGAACAATTACTGGACCAAAAGACCACTGAAGTCCAAAAAACCTTCAGAACTGCTGAATTGTCATTTAAAAAAGAATAAAAAAGGTTTGTTATTTTACTCTTGTCTCATCAATTTTGTCAATTGATAAATTAAAAATGTTAAATGAAATAACATCAGGGTTAAGTGTGGTTAAAAATTCTTGTGTAAGAAAGTGAATAAAAAAAATATTGTTTTGCCTTATGTATGATTAAAGCTTTTATTCATTTTCAGATATTAACTTCATCAAAACAAGACTTCAAACCTGAATGTTTAAAACCAATATCTGAAAAGGTAAGAATAATAATTAAAATTTGATTATGAAATAAATCACTATAGAACAGTATACAGTATATTTAATACATCTTCTGGGTTTATTGAGCCAAACGGCATATGACCTTTTATTTATGCATCTGTCTTTAGTAAACTACAGAACTGTGAATATTTTATGTGGGGAAATTCAGAAATATGAAAACCAGATTTACATGAACATAAACTTAAGTTAATGCTCATGTTCAAATGAGTTTCAAATTTAAAGGTTAGGTTTGAAATTTTTATTAGCATAAAAATGTCTTAAGAAAATAATGTGATAAAATGATGTTTTCTTTGGCTAGACTTTTACTATTAAATTTAAATACAATCATTTTGTCCATGTATTTCATTGTGCATATGAAAAAAAAAGAAGTTTCTTTTACGGTAGATTAAAAAAAAAGAAGCAAAAAGCAAACTCTCAAATTGTAAATTCCAAATAATATAAATTTCAAAAATAAGTAGTAAATTTTATTTTCTTTCAATCCCTAACCTATACCGTAATTTCTTGGGATTTCACGTTTGAATACTATAGGACATCTAGAATTAATTTCAATGAAAATACAAAGAAGAATGCAACATTATGGTAATATAAATCACAGATTACAATACATTATTATACAGCTGTTGAATAGCACTACAGGTATATTATACAAATCTGAAAAAGTCATGAAAAATTTATAAATTATTGTTAAATATAGATAGCAGTAAAGATAAAATCAATCAGGATAATCCTGAATGTAATAACATTTATATCAATATTTTATCAATTACTCCAATGTGTAAAGGTTAGAAATCAAATAGCAGTATCAGGACAAAGCTATTAAGAGATCTGTATATTGTATTGTAACCTTGATTTATTTACCGAATTACTTCAATTATCAACAAATTATACTTGAGAAAAGATGAGTTTGAATTTATAGATAATTTTTGACGAATGAAAACTGACTTGAATATAAATATTCTAGATTGAAAGGGTAGCTTGCCCCTTTTTGTCTTTGTCTTTCATTTCAAGTACCTTGAAATCATCATTAGCTAACTGGACCCTGAAATTATGGACTTCCATTAGACCCAAAAACATAGTTAGAATAAATAAATCTTGGCATGACAAGGGAAATAATAATAATGCCAGTGTAATTTTTACTTTCATTATGGTCCCCAAGAATTTCGGGAATATATATCAATTGCTTTTTCTGTCTGTCCCTATGTAAAAAACTTGGTGTCTGGATGATAACTTGAATATCCTTTGCATGATTCTAATGAAACTTATACAGACAAAATAAAGGGAATAGGAAAAAGTATTGCTTTTGGGGTCAATAAGTCAAAGGCCAAGGTCTGGATAATTTTTGAAAAATAGGGTTTCCGGATGATGGCTTGAGTTTCCCTTGATTGATTTAAATGAAGCTTATACCTGATGGAAGATATAAGGAAGAAGAAGAAACTTATTGGTTTTGGGGTTTACAGTTCAAAAATCAAGGTCACTAATAAATATAAAAAAAAGTGGAAAAATGGTTTCCGGATGGTAACTAGAATTTCTCTTTCTTGATTGAAATGAAAATCATACAGATGGAAGATACAGGGAAGGGGAGGCAACCTATTGATTTTAGGGTAAATAGGTTAAAGGTCCAGGTTAAAAAAATGGAAAAACTTTAGAAAAGGTTTACTTATGGTGACTTGAGTTTCCGTCGTATCTTTGGAATGAAACTTATACAGAACGATAATATAGGAAAGGGAAAGTAGACAATTAATTTTTACGTCAATATGACTATAAATAAATATTTTGTTTTTTTGAGAATATCCCACTATGAATTGTAACACTATTGTACAGGCAATTAGATTAGCAATGATAGTGTTTATTTGTCTCTCCAAGCATACTAGTATTTTGAACCCTTGAAATAAAAATATTTGGTCATTTAGCTCTTCAACTGTTTCTGTTCTTATACATTCTTGGCTTTCAAATATTCAGCTTTGAGATTCCTTAAGAAGGTAAATCCAGATAAATGCTTATGACACATAAAATTTATAACTTATTTTCATTTTTTTATAGCACAGAGTTGATACCCCTCCTGGTGGACTATCAGTCCCTGAGGGTATCGTCAGCTCAGAAGTCAGTACTTTGGTACTGACATGATTTTATAACATAAAATTCTTAATTGTCCTTTTATGAATTTATAAATTATTAAGAAACTGAGGTTTCAACTCCCTCAGACCAAGTTGACCTTAGATTGATTTGGCTATTATTTTTAGGTCCTTTTTGGTCATATAGCTCTTCAACTGTTTCGGTTCTTATACATCCTTGGGTTTCAAATATTCAGCTTTGAGCCTTCCTGATGAAGGTAAATCCAGAAAAGGGCTTCGGATGCATTAAATTTATAAAGTGTTGTTATAGGACAATATGGATATAAACAATGACATTTTCTCAACATAGTGCATCTGATTTAATGCCCCATTTTTTATACTCACAAGTGGTAATAAATAATACACTAAATGGAAGATTAATAAAAATGTTCTTTTGAACGTAGCATTACAAACTTTAAGGACCATATTTTCTTAACATCTAGCAATAACTATACAGTATAAAGCAAATGAAGTGTATAAATAAACTCATCATTGATACAAGGATTGAAATTTGTACACGCATGATGATGATCATAACGATATTAGCAAAATTTGCACAATTTTATTTCAACAATTTCAAATATATAAAGTACACGAGTCATGAAATTTGTTTTTTTTATGCCCCTGCCACAAGGCAAAGGTGGCATTAAGTGTTGCCCTTAGCTGTCTGTCCTTTTGTCTATCCGTCTGTCTGTCTTCCCATCTGTCCCAGTTTCGTTTGAAAAGCAAGCTTGAGTGGGGGCATTCGTGTCCTCAGACACATTCTTCTTTTATTTTAGAAAATTGTATTTTCATTGTTATGTTTCACTTAATAATTGTACCTTTATAAATGGTATAATGTGCTTTAAAGACTTAATTGATTTCAGTTTCTGAACCTCTTTCATTGTTTTGGTTGGAGAAGAAAAAAGATTTTCATATAATCTATTGTTGTTATTGCTCTCAGAGATATATCTTAGAATTATTGTCCAGTAATTCTTTGTATGATAGAATACATTGTGATTGTTAATACAACATGATAAGGTCTGTGTACAAATTATTGATCTCTAATGAAAACATCCAACATCTACAGTCTCAATCAAAGGATAAATATTTGGATGTGTAGTAATTTCTAATGACGTACAGAGTTTGGTTCAATACTTACAATAGACTGATATCACTGAAAAATTTTCTTTGTTTGGGAGTTTGATGTCTGATATTAAAGTTTAACATAAATTCTCTTTTTAGCTCACCTGTCCTAAAAGGACAAGTGAACTTTTGCCATGACTTGACATCTGTCAATTGTCGTCTACTGTACAGCACCTGTGCCTATGGCAAAATGATCTTCTCCTCTGAAACTACTGAACAAATTTCAACCAAACTTGGGATGACTGATCCTTATGAAATCTTGTATAAAGTTTGTGTTTTTTTATTCATGTCTGTCAACAAACATGGTTACCATGGCTAAAAATAAAACATACGGGTAAAAAATGCATTTGATGAGCAATACAAGATTTAGAAAAATGTCATAATGACATAGGAGTTATTGACCTTAAATCACGATTTTTGACAAATTTTGATAATTTTGAAAATTATCTGAAAAACTAAAATACATAGGTAGAGATTGTAAATCGCAAAAACGTCCAGCAATACAAGATTTACAAAAATGGCACTAAATAAGATTTACTTATAAGCAAACATAACTGAATGCTATAAAGGAAACAAAATTTAAAAGTAAAATTACAAAAATGCTGAACTCCAAGGAAAATTCAAAACGGAAAATCCCTCATCAAATGGCAAAATCAAAAGTTCAAACACATCAAACGTATGGAAAACAACTGTCATATTCCTGATTTGGTACAGGCATTTTCTTATGTAGAAAACGGTGGATTAAGCTTGGTTTTATAGCTAGCTAAACCTTTCACTTGTATGACAGTCATATAAAATTCCATTATATTGACAACAATGTGTGAACAAAACCAACAGACATAATAGGTAGAAATGTCAAAAATAGGGGTACAGCAGTCAACATTGTGTTATATTCTTAATCACTATAAAATCAAACAAATATGTCAACAAAGCATATAAGCAAAAATGAAAGACAAGAATACAAAAAATGACCATACCACAATAACACAATGGTGGGATGTATAAGTACCGAGCCATGCCAAAAGGATATTCCTAAAAACGGACTAAAAAAAGGAAACAAAATTAACATATCTTAAAGGAATTGAGCAATTCAGGCTCTTTGGAGACTGACTTGTTTCATTTGACAATGGTATTGTCTGTTTTATTTCTACTTAAGGTTCTTGTATGCTGCCCTTGGTATCATTTCCACCCTTTTCATGCCTCACTTACAATAGAAGAGGGGCATATGTTTTCAAATCTGCATTCTTCTCATTTGTCTGTCCCATATCAGGTTGAAGTTTTTGTTTAAAGTAGTTTTTGGTAGCAACATTTAAAACCATAGTTCTGAAAAAAGTTAAGTTTAAAATGCTAATGAAATCATTTCTCTTCTTAAGGTTCAGTAATCAAGGACCAGTTGAAACAAGTTTCACATTGAGATATGAAGAGTTTTCATGAAGAACTGTCTTCAATGACTAGTTGTATTTGTAGTATGTAACAAGAAATTGACATTTCTGCAGAACCTATTGATTCTCCAGTTTTATCAGCTTTATGTCAATATTTTGGTTCAAATTATAACATTTAAAGGACAGAAAATCAATTTCTTCCAGAGATTTACAGTTGTCAACATTTAAATCTAGGTTTTATGTTTCTTTAAGATCCTAGAAAGCAGTCTCAGGTTTTGTCTTGTTTTTTTTATAATTTTTTAGAAAAAATATTCAGTTTTAAGGCTGACTTGTCCTTGTACAAATCTGCATACCTTCAAA